CAACCAGAGCTGCCGGGAGCGCTCGCTGCAGGGGGAAAAGGGGGGGAGTAGTGAAACAGCAATTAGTGAGGCGGCCAAGGTTGAGAAACACTGCTGAAAGAGTAGTAGGAAAACCAGATCAAAGCCAAATTTGCTTTAATTTCATTTACAAGTAGTTAAACATAAAAATATTTCATTAGAAGTAAATGTTATGTAGCTCCAGTAATGTGCTTTATATTTTTCTTCTTTCAAACTGTTCTGCAATCAGCAGTCAAAGTTTTCACTGGCCAAATATGGCTCTGGGACACCAGGTTGCAAACCTCTGATATAGGGCCATCTTGGGTGCTCTGAGATGTTTTGGGTTGTACCTTCTAGCATGTCCATTGGTCATATGGGTTGGGGCTGATGGAGCTTGAACAGGTGTTATTTTCTCTTTAGAAAATAGAACCAAGGCAATCTGTTATACATTGCCATCATACATGAGTGAACAGAATTGTGGTAGGGAAACATGATCTGCTGTTGCTGATTTATGGAAAAATACAGAATCAAGATCACACTTTTGAATAACCAAACAGTGTTCGTATTCATAGGATTTTCATTTTATTGTCTTGTATAATATCTGATATTACCCAAGTTTAAAGAAAAGTCATGCATAGGTGAATCTTCCAGGGATTTACAGAATCTTACAGATTCCTGTATGGTCTTGGAGTATCCAGTCAACATAGCTGACACTCCTATTGTGTTGGGCACTGTTAAATAAAAAGAATTACTTAGACCCACACAGAACTGGTATTAGGCCTAGTTTTTTGGCACTGAAAGAACCTTGATTGTGTTGATATGTGACATCCTCAGGAGAGGAACAGGGAGAATGTGACCCCATTTGTTCTCCTTGACCTCTCAGAAACAATTGATATCAGTGAATATGGCCTCTTGCTGGTTTGGGTCTGAGATGTGGTGCATTTTCATATGGTAACTGACTTTTATCCAGAGGTCTGTTTCCAAAGTTTGCAGAGTGTTGTAGATGTCCCACAGGTTTCCATTCTGTTTCTTGTTTGTATTAATATGGACATGAAATTTGTGCCTATGAGGCTACCTTAGAATTGGCAGTAAAGTATCAGTATTGTGCAGTTGAAATTTAGCTCTATTTCTCATCAATGTCTGAGTTCAGAGAAGTTCTCCCAAACTTGTCTTTTTTGCCAAATCTATACCACACCTCACCTTTTTTCTGGATTTGTGTTGTTCTCTAGAATGAAATATGTGTGGACTCCGTATGTTTGCATGATTGCAGCATTTGGAGTCTGTTCTCCTGAGCTTTGGATGACTCTTTTCAAGTGGATCCGACTGAAAACTGTACATCCTGTTCTGTTGGTGAGTTCATCTTGTTTATAGTGACCATAAGGAATGGCTGTATTCACTGTTAAGCACATGGAATGTCATCTCCCACCAAAATCATGATCTGGAGACAGGATATAGCCAAGCCTTCCTAGCCTGGTGTCTTCCAGTTGTGTTCAGACTGCAGCTTCCTGAAGTTCCGGGTGGCTTGCTCAAAAGCTGTTCTGAGACTTCTAGGAGGCCATCAGTTTAGGGAGGATTGATAGTGTGTATGGGTAGGATTTGATAGGAGTATCAGTTTATGGATAGGGCATGCTCTATAGGATTTTATAGGTGAAGACTGGAAAAGACTCATGGTGAATATGTGAGAAATGTATACTATCTCTAATCTGCATATTTATTTGAACATGATTGTTGCAGTTCAGGATGATCTCTGTATTTGATTTGTTATATGGCTGAAGAGCTGTAGGATTAGAGAAACCTCATGGGTCAGGCAGAATGTGAGCTACAATGCCATCGTGACAGATGCATGGTTTAGTTATGGGCAAGGGAGGCTACAGAAATACTATTCTGTAATATACTATATTATAACATGCGTTTCTGTGGCTGTTCTTATTCTATGATCTTGGCTACCTGGCAAAATAGCCTTCCCGAGTCAAGGGCTAAAGACCAATCAGGAGAAGGAAAGACTATGTGTGACCTGTTTTGGCAAACTGCTAAGGTGCTGAGTGGGTGCTAGGTTGTGTACCTTCTCCTCTTCTTCCCTTTGTGTTTGCTCCAAATCAGAGGCTGTAGTAGCATATGGCAATTTGAATACTTGGTTGAGCAGATGCCTGGGTTAGACGGTAGGACTTTATTGATGGTTGTCTCACTAGAGCTGAAGAAGTAAAGGCATTTTGGTATCTTGTGTATGCATGTGCACGTGCTCACATGTGCTTAGATGGTACAAGGTAGTTAACTGAAAACATGTAAGTTTGTAAGTTCATTGGCCATTTTCTGAGCATAGGTGTCATCTGGTGCATTCAGATCTCTTAGAACTAGCATCTGTCAATTTTATATTTTCTGAGTTATACATCTTTTCCATCACTTCCCTAGCTGAAGTGCATTAGCTGTGCATTAGAGGCACAACTGTTTTGCCATATAATGCTGGTATATTGGCAGCCTGATATAGTATGAGGATGTTTTGTTTAGCTGAACCATTTATTTCTGTACTTACTGACTGCTGCTTTGGTCCAAAAGGACTCTCTATATGTCATCTTTTGTCAATTTTAGGAGGCAATCTTATATATGCCTATTAAGAAAAAAATTCAATAGGTTGTATTCCTAAATAGAACTGTAGCCCTAAAAAGCGTACAGTAGTGTTTTGAAAGAATCTGAAGTTACATGGGTGGAAACTAAAAAGAAAATCCTAAATATAACTATTTTATGTCTATTCACTCTTTTAGGCTCTCATTCTGAGTATGGCTGTTCCAGCTATTATAGGCTTTAGTTTGTGGAAAGAGGTAAGAACAGAATACATGAAGCATAAATAATGCCACTCTTCCTTCTCCTCATTACCCATGCAGAATATTGGAAGATTTAATGATAAGAGATAGTACTTGGTTTTGAAGCAGCTTACCACATTTTATGTATCGCAATCTTGCACCCAGAAATTTTCCAACGAAGATATTTATCCAAATGTCTGCAACTGAAACTGTAGCAGTAAAATGGTGTAGGCCCGTGTTTCTCAACCGTGGCAACTTGAAGAGGTGTGGACTTCAACTCCCAGAATTCCCCAACCAGCAAGGCTGGCTGGGGAATTCTGGAAGTTGAAGTCCATACCTCTTCAAGTTGCCAAGGTTGAGAAACACTGGAACAGACACTAAATAGCACTTTTTGTCCTGGCAAGTGACTGTACTTGGCCAACTTTGAGCTCACAAACTATGCAAGATCAGGCTTGGTTAATATTTGGATGGGACACATCCAGTGAATACTAGGGCTATAAGCTAGAGTGGAAAGTTGAAAAACTGCTCTGGAAGAAAGCAGTGGTAAACCGCTTCTATGTTGCTGCTCAGAAAACTACATAACCTGGGCTTGAAGGAGAGTTTACCTCTCAGATGCATTCCAATAAATTTATGTTAAAAAAAGATCTCAGATTGATATTGAATAACTTAACAAAACTAGAAGTATTTATATTAATAAACTAAGTTCGAATTAGATGTACTTAAGCCCAAAATACGTATTTCTATTAAGATGGGTTTTGACGAATAAAGCGAATTTTGCAGTACGTAGCAAATGAATTTTGGAGCATGTGAAGTACGGTTTGACGGTAAAGCTAGAAAGGTGTTTTTAGTCCACCTTCCTGCATTATTTAAAGTTCTGTAATTTGTCTTCCCACAGTTCATAGCCTTGGTGCTTCCTTTTAGTTTTTTCCTAGGATAATGGCAGAACTCTCAGAGCTCCAAGAATTTTATGACCCTGATACAGTAGGACTCATGACCTGGATTAAGTAAGTAATCTTTACTTTTTTCTTATTACAGAATATTTCGGTAATCTACACTATGATTCACAGTAACCCTTTATCATATAGTGGGTCCAAGCGTTCTTTCCCAAGTTTATCTAAGCTTGTTGTGGGCTATGCTATTCAAGTTTCGGGAGACAGCTGTAGAACCATTATCTGATCAAAAACTTGTGGTTTAATCACACGAGTTTTAATTAACACTCCAACATTTTCACATGTTAAAAATTTGATTGTTACGTGGCGATTGAGTAGGGCTTTAGAAACTAGCAATGATACATTTGGAGAAACCATAGTTTCTTTAGTGTTAATGTTTGAATCTGGAACTCTGACTTGTTTCCTTTTTAAAAAAATCAGCAACACAAACCAGCAGGAAATGGTTCAGTTGCATGAGGTAAGATGATATGGAGGAGGAAATCATTATAGTTGATGTGGACCCAAACTGTTCAGGAGTTTAAAAGCAATAACCAGTGTTTACAGTCAGTGAAATAAAATAATAAAGCCACATGCCCAATCAAAACCTTTTCAGAGGCAGCACCACAAGGAACACATTACCAGAGTTCAATTTTGATGTTATGAAAACGTGTTAATCATGCAGGAAAAGGTGCAGTCAGCTGGAAGGTGTGCCAAAGTACCGCTGACTTTGGTTGCTTCTGGGCCATCCAGTGTCAGGCTGTTGGGCAATAATCCTTTTTCCAGGCATGAATTACAGAATCATCTTAAGATTTATTGAAGTCATAGGGAACAGGTTACCAGCATTTCAGCAACTGAACTATTTCCTGTTAGAAGTCTTTTATCTCCTAAGTCAGTTGGGTTGATCCTTTTGTAATTTCATTATAATGGCTGTTCTGTGAAGGAGGCAGGTCTTTTTACTGATTATGGATGAGCTATTTACAAAACCACCATCCAGATTCTTACCAATCTGAGAACGGATCCTTACATCTAGGACCAAAGTCTGGCTTGAAGAGCATTTCTGAACTCTACATATGCCTTCATGGAATGTATGAGAGACAAGACATTATTATTTTTTACAGAAGACAGGCTCCTATTGCTGCTGTGTTTGCTGGAAGTCCACAGTTAATGGGTGTGATCAAACTGTGTACTGGATGGATGGTGACAAATCTACCCTTGTATAATGATGATGACCTGCAAAAGAGGAATGAGAATGTGAGTCTCCATTTATCCTAAGATAGCAGCTGCCTTGCATGTAAAACTAAAACTGAAACTTTTTCAGATGCCTGAACTCAGACTTCACAGATAAACGTATAATACAATATTATTTCTCAGTCCCTAAAGCTTGTAGCACCTGCTCTTCATCCAGAGGTCCAGATATATCATCAACAGGGAGGCCCTGGAATCTATTCTAACTACAGATATCAAGAATTCTTCTTGGAAGGCTTGGACCTTTGTGTCCCCACTCTCTCTGTCCCTTCCACCTAGCTTTGCTTTATCTTCTGGGGAGCTTCTACATACTGTGGTCTGTCCATATCACTCCCTATGTCCAATCCAAGAATTCCTCATCTTTCTGGATTAAGCTGGGGAGAGGATGGACAGTTTTGCCCCAGGTCTCTTCATCTTCTCTTCCAAAAGGATAACCAGCTGCTGCTTCCAACATATGTATTTCCAACTGATTTTTTGAAATAATATTTAAAAAACTGATTATCTTTTAAATCCTTAGATTTTTCAGATCTATTCCAAAAGATCAGCTGAAGATATCTACAAGATACTCACATCCTACAAAGCTACATATCTGGTTATAGAGGATTCAATTTGCAATGAAGTTGGACCAGTGAGAGGATGCAGGGTTAAAGACTTATTGGATATTGCCAATGGCCATGTAAGTAGCAGTGTGACATTTTAAAGAATTCAGCCACCAAGTTTGGTAACTTACAGGATATATTAATAACCTGCACAATAAGCGTTTTACAAACCAGTGAGCTGAATTCAGCATGTTTTTTCAGAAGCAAGATCTACTTGCTCAGGGGTGATTGCTGCATATTACTTAGGACACATGCATCTTGCGTCTCATTCATCTGAACGACCGCCTAAGATTCTGAAAGGCAGTCATAGAAGGTAATCATAGCTGAGCAGTGCTTTGAAACTGAGTCTTTTGATTTGGCCCAATGCCACAATGTGAATGCTACATATACACTCTTGACTTG